CTTCTGATCCAGCTCCCTGCTAACATGCCTGGGAAAGCAATGGAAGATGTCCCGAGTGCTTGGGCCCTTGCCATCCAGGTGGGAGACCCAGATGGAGTTCCTGGCTCCTGGTTTCAGCTTGGCCCAGCCTCAGCTGTTGTGGCCATTTGCAGAGTGAACCAGCAGATAGAAAATTGATCTTTCTCTTTTTCCTTCTCTTCAATCTGCCTTTCAAATAAATAAATAAATCTTTTTTTTAAATGTGAAAAATATCCTACTAAAAGGTATAAACAAATTATAAAGGGCTGCTGTAGATAGAATCATGGTCCCCAAAATGATGTGCCTGAGTCCCAACCTCCAGAGCCTAGGAATGTGTCCGTAATCAGCAAAAAGAATCTTTACAGATGGATCCACGGTGAGGCTCTCAAGGTGAGATCATCACAGGTTTAAAGTGGACCCTGGACCAAGGACCAGTGTCCCCGTAAGAGACACCAGGGAGAAGAGTCAGACCCAGAGGAGGCCGGGGAAAGCCTTCTGAGGGAGTGCGGTCCTGCTGACACCTGTATTCAGGGCCACTGTCCTTGGGAACCATGGGAAAATCTCTTTCTGTTGCTTGAAGCCACCAGATTGGTGGTACTTTGTGGCAGCAGCCCTGGAAAATGAATACAAAAGCCAATGGCTAGGTCAGCCCACAGGCTGAGAGATGCCACACAGAAGAGAGGCCACTGGCCCTCAGTTCTCTAGAGCTTCAAGGAGTAGGCTGGACAGGGAGGGGAGAAGTGTATTCCAACAAAAACCCTCGCATGAACAAAGCCACCAAGGCCTGACACAGCAGCAAACACCCACAGCGCTGCCAGCGGTTTGGAAATGTTTGGTGGGAAGGGTTCACGTGGGAGAGTGGGGGGCGAAGCTGGAGATGTGGGTCATGCAGGGCCTTGTGGGGAAAGCCAAGAAATTTGAAAATAATCCCCCAAACTCTGGAAAGTATTAGTGGATTTTAAGCGAGGGAGCGTCCTAATCAGATTTGCGTTCTGGATGAGACTCTCTGACACCCCGTGGAGAATGGGCCGGAAGGGGGCTTGTAAGAGGGCAGAGACCAATAAAAGAGGGACCAGGACAGCCGCGCAAAGGGGAGATGAAGGCCTGAGCTCGGAGGTGGAAAAGCAGGGGCGAACACGAGAGGTGTTAGACAGCTGGGCCCTGAGACACGTGAGACTTGTAAAGTGTGGAGGGTATGAGGCAGGGACAACGCAGCACGCCCCGACACAAAGTAGTTTCACTTATCAAGAGGGAAGCACATGCATTTCTTCTGATTTCAGTCTTTTTCCCAGGTGTTTGAACCCAGCGGTATAGATGTGAGATTAACGTCCATGTTTTAAGGTCCCTCTGGGTCCATGTACTTTAAACATTTCCTTCCAGAAAGCAGACAGTGAAGACCTGATTCCTCTGCAGAGAGCCTCTGGAAGGCAGCTAAGTGCCCTCTCCCCTACGTACCAACACTGTCATCAGCATGTGACAACACTGAAGCAAATGGCACAAGGAGGAAAATTTACAGATGGGAAGAAAACCAGCAGATGGCGTGCGGTAGAACTGTGGAACTCTAGCTCTAGACTCATTTGGGGAACTGTTGCTTCCACGTCCTCAGCGGTGTGACTCAGACTGGCAGCCCAATCACCTTCCAGATTTCAAATCCCCCAGCTCCTCTGCTGGAGCCAAAGTAAGGAACTCTCAGGTCGACTCTTGATTCTTTCTTCCACCATCCACCATCTAAGATAACAGAGCCAGGGCTAAGAGGCATTCCCATCCCCACCCCTCCCTCAGGACCCCCCTGGCCCAGAGACACACATTTCATTTTCCTAGGGACCACCTCAGACCCTACTTTTATCTGCCAGCTCTCCAGTTCTGCCAGATAAGGAGACAGAACGGGAGATATTAACACTGGAAGAAACAAGATCCAACATCAGGATCTGGCCCAGGGCCTGTGGCGCTGAGTAACCACCCTACTTCTCCTCTGCCTGCCTATATGCTTTTAATTCTGCCAATTGGTCAAAGTTCTGGTCCATTCTTTTCACTTTTCCACAAGCAGATTACCCGCCACTCTACCAGACTGCTCCAGAGTAGCATAGGCAAAGTATCTAAGGACACACAATCATTTTAGCCAAATTCACACTGGCCCCAATCTCTGCATATCTGTCTATGTCTCTGAGTTTAACAGGAGGTCAAAAAGGAACCTCAAAGATTCACTCTCCTGCCTGTCCTCCCAACTTGAATGCAACAAGGATGGAGAAGGCAGAGAGGCTGGCTCCAGGGTCTCCAACTGGAGTTAAAAGCCATAGCAGATTACACACCAAGCCCAAGAAATGTCAGCCAAGCACCAGGTCTGACAGGCGTGGTGCTACTGCCAGCTTTGTTTCCTGCCTGGGTCTCCAGAGAGCTCAATATAGCCTGGAAGGCTCCATTTGTGGGATAAGAACTAAAAAACACAGAGAGTTGCGTTTTAAGATGATGCTCACTGTTATCCATGGGTAGCAGTAGTAACTGTCATTCCTTCTGCTCCTCTTCCTCCTACTCTTCTTTCTCTTTATTCTTCTCCTCCTTCTGCTGCTGCTTCCTTTTTAATGAAGTCTCTTATTTTAGCTCTGATTAAGAATTTACATTTTCAGAATTTCCAGGGTTCCCAGTTTAGAATTCCAGCATGAAATCATTAAAAGCCGCCATCCTAAACTATACTCATTTATTACTGGAAAAGCAAAGATGGAGGAAAACATAACTGCGTTCCAAATTCAAAGAGAACTATTAGATCAGATTTGGGGTGAATCTTACACTTTTATGACTCATCAAAAGGGTTTAAAGGCACACCCTCGGCACTATGGGGAGATAAAGTATCCATCACTGGAAAATTCACTATCAAATGAAAAACAGTACCAAAATAAAGAACATAACATTAAAGCCTTTATTAAGGACTCCTCTATGGACTAATAATACTTCCCCTATATCAGTGTCATTTGGGTATACATGTTATGAATCTGGGGGAAAAAAAAAACACATCAGCAACACAACAAGGACAGTGGTCCTGTTCTCAGAAGTCAGAATGACCCTCTAGTCCTCTAAATTGTTTCCAGAAGTTAAAGTGTTTGAAGGGCGTTCATGCTTTTGGGGTTGATCATTTACCAACCAGGATACATTTCCTCTTGGAGCTAAAACCACAGCTCATGATTTGTCCCACTGATCTCCCTGCCAAAACCTGGCCTTAGTCCAACTGATGAAATATCTTCATTGGAGAAGCACGCATGACCCATCCATTGCCTCAGAATCATTTTTGCACATTAGTGATGGGCTCGGGAGATGTGGACAGTTCCAGGATCTGGTACAAGTGACCTACCCTTCCCCAAGGTTAAGATAAATGGGCCTTTGGCCAAAACTGGAACCCAACACCTAAGATAATGATCCACTGTGCCCAGAACATCTGCTTAGCCCATCACACTTGCAAGAACAGCTAAGGCCTCCTGAGTGCTAGGAGGGGTACTAGAATCAGTTGGAGAGTTTGAGGACATGAATCACCCTCACTCAGAGTAGATGACAGACCAGCAACAAAGAAGCCATTAAATACAACTGCCTCCACAAACCAATGACTGCACCAAACACAAAAGCATGTGCAGTGAGGAACCCAGTAGCTGAATAAAGACCTCGGGACTCAAGTAATCTGTCCTGCTGACATAACCCTCCTGAAATAGCCCCCAAATCCAGGAAAACTGAAGAGCCTAAGTGTGCCCATCACATGTTCAACCATAGGGTAAGTGCTAAGAAAACTATAATGCCTATAATGAATCCATATGATGAAATATTATTCAACTGTGAAAATCAAACTCATGAGCACAATTTAACAAGACCAGGAACTTCCTATGTTCTAAGGCCAAGTAAATGCAAAACCAAGAATGTAGTATTATTCTTAAAATGTGATAATGCACATTAAAAAAGGACTCATAATGTTTTTGTGGGAGATGAAATAATACACAATTTGCTTTCCTTCTCCATGCTTTCTTTCTCTTTTCAAATTGTCTACAATTTGCACATTACTTTTATATGCCCCTAAAACAAGTTACTTAATTTGATTAAACCATGGTTTTAAGGAGCCAGCAATTAATGCATTGAAAGAAGATGTGTTGAAAACCAGAAGGTGACCAGATGCCTAGAGTTGCAGCGCTAACCACTGACCCTGCCACCCTGGATATCAAAGCACTAGAGGTGGAATAGTCCAAAGCAACCTCTGGCTCCATTCTTCCTGCTGTCCGGTCTCTGGCTATGAGCACACTCTTTTATGACTCACTCAAGGTCCCTGGGCTGGTCACTTCCCTTAAAATAATCCATCTGGCAAAGAGCACACAGTGGCGCTGGGAGGATTCATTCATTCATGTTTGGAGACAAGCTCACCGTAGCTCTCGGAAGGGAGCTGCTCCGTGCTAAGCAGTGCAAGTATTCAGCTGAGTACATTTCCAGGGCAAACTTCCTGCCACAAATTCTCTAAACTCAATGCAGATGCCCAAATTCTGGGTAAAATTTATGTCAGTTGGCTGGTAGACTGAGCATCACTACAATAAAAATGAATTGGATGTCAAATGTCTCCAGCCAGCTTAACACCACAACGTCTGGCCTTCCTGGGGAATCACAAAGCTGGGTCCAACAGGCTCAGTGGTGGACAAAATCCAGGCCACTGATGAGCAGGACTGCTTGGCTGTGGGTGGGTACTGACCCTTCCAAGGTTGTGTATACCTCCCACGACAGTCCCATAAATGGTTCAAAGGTGCCATGGAAATCAATACAGGCATGGGCCCCAGACCAAGCAGAAATAAAATCATGCAGAAAACCATGGATGTGGTATCAGAGTGCCGGGAAAGCATGGAAAGCAGTTTTTAAGCAAAGCAACAGCATCAGCTCCCCAGATGAGGAATTGGCTTTGGACAATCTGTGGATAAAGAAATGACTCATGGAGTAAACTGCCCCTTTGAAAGGCTAGCACTTACTTCAAGCTGCGATGCAGCCAGCTCCTGACGGTGGAAAATGACAGGCGTGCGGAATATGTGGGAACTGTGCAGAGACCTCAGGCACGGCTCAAGGCCTGCGATACTGCTTTTCCTTCCCCTGTTTCCTACCTGTTGGAAGATAAGCCAGTGCTCATTTTTCAGGGAAAATGGAATGCCCAAGTTCATGTGGCAGTTACACACTTGCATCTCAGTTGTCCTCTTCTAATCATACCCCAGGGATTTCAGCTGAAAGCCAAGCTATCAGAAAGAGGGAAGGCTCCAAGGGGACGTGGTCCTGGACACCTTCCTTCACAGAGATTTGCGAGTGCAGAAGCTTAGTTAAGTCACAGGTTGCCTCCCTCACTCCATCATCCTGAAACTCGGAGACTGAATAAGACATGTAAGCAACTTAGTGTCCTCTGCCTACCATGCCCATGAAGGGACTTATTCCTTCTTATATCTGGAGTCAGCATTTCCACTTACCCTCTTTTCAGGATACATTTTACCCTGAGTTCTATTGAGATCTGGCCTGCTTGGAATAACAGTGCCCCATGGCAGGTAGTAGCCCAGGAATGTGAACTACACTATTTTTTTAAACTTTTATTTAATAAATACAAATTTCCAGAGTACAGCTTTTGCATTACAGTGGCTTTTTCCCCCTCATAACTTCCTTCCCATCCACAACCCTCCCATCTCCCGCTCCCTCTCCCATTCCATTCACATCGATTCATTTTCAATTATCTTTATATACAGAAGATCAATTTAATATATATTAAGTAAAGATTTAAACAGTTCGCACCCCACACAGAAACACAAAGTGTAAAGTACTGTTTGAGTACTAGTTATAGCATTAATTCACATAGTACAACACATTAAGGACAGAGATCCTACATGGGGAGTAGGTGCACAGTGACTCCCGCTGTTGATTTAACAACTGACACTCTTGTTTATGGTGTCAGTAATCACCCTAGGCTCTTGTAATGAGTTGCCCCAAGGCTATGGAAGCCTTTTGAGTTCACCAACTCTGATCTTATTTAGACAAGGTCATAGTCAAAGTGGAAGTTCTCTCCTCCCTTCAGAGAAAGGTACCTCCCTCTTTGCCCATTCTTTCCGCTGGGATCTCACTCACGGAGACCTTTCATTTAGATTTTTTTTTTTTTACGACAGTGTCTTTGCTTTCCATGCCTAAAATACTCTCATGGGCTCTTCAGCCAGATCTGAATGCCTTAAAGGCTGATTCTGAGGCCAGAGTGCTATTTAGGACATCTGCCATTCTATGAGTCTGCTGTGTATCCTGCTTCCCATGTTAGATCGTTCTCTCCTTTTTAATTCTATCAGTTAGTATTAACATACAGTAGTCTTGTTTATGTGATCCCTTTGACTCTTAATCCTATCATTATGATCAATTATGAACTGAAAATGATCACTTTGACTAGCGAGATGGCATTGGTACATTCCACCTTGATGGGATTGAATTGAAATCATCAGGCACGTTTCTAACTCTACCGTTTGGGGCAAGTCCAATTGAGCATGTGCCAAACTGTACTTCTCCTCCCTCTCTTATTCCCGCTCTTATATTTAACAGGGATCACTTTTCAGTTAAATTTAAACACCTAAGAAAAATTGTGTGTTAATTTAAAATGAACTACACTATTGCTCTAACTCTAGGTATTTAAAAAAAATGGAAACACAGGTCATATGTTCTTGGTCATACTGTGGATTAAGTCAAGTACTAGGTGAAGTCTACTCTAAAGAGGTAACCTCAAGAACTAGAGACCGACCCAGTTTCTCTCTGTGTTTTTTGACAAGTGACAAGCAGTCACAACAGTGTCACCTGGGTTGTTCCCTCTGAACCAACAGGGAGCCTCACACGCCTCTGAGGAAGCCACTGAATACAAGGGCCATCCAGAGGTGTGGGAGGACAGCTCAAAGTCAGCAGAAACTCAGACATCTACTTTCAGTAACCTTGGCCTCCAGGTTTATAGAAGAAATAAAATCAACAGGTCTACATGGCAATAACTTGAAACGGAGAAAGAACTAAGTGTGTTCCAAGTCTTGAAACTTATTCTTCAAAATGTAAGGGAACCTACCTCCCTGAAATAGAGCAGAACACTAGTCTTGGCAATTTAGAGCAAGGAGGAAACAGCCAAAGGGCACATTTCAAATGTGCTTCCTCAATGACGTCACATAACCCAGACAAGGAATATGAGGCCCTGCTGCTGCTGAACAGGACATGAGCCCAGGAACAGCCCCTGGGAAACAGCAGAATAAGGGTAAACAAGGGTGTGGAATATGTTCCCGTTCTATCATCTATGCCTTCCCAAAACGTATTCCATCAAATTCCATAGAAATACCAGAGGCTGCTTTGGAGATGACTAACTCAACTTAACCAAGCAGTAGAAAGAGCAAAGGAGGGGCTGGGGCTGTGGTGCAGCAGGTTAATCTGCCGCCTGCAATGCCAGCATCCCATACCAGAGTACTCGTTTGAGTCCTGGCTGCTCTGCTTCCAATCTGGCTCCCTGCTAATGCTCCTGGGAAAGCAGTGGGTGATGATCCAAAAGCTTAGGCCCCTGCACCCACATGGGAGACCTGGAAGGTGTTCCAGCTTCTGGTTTTAGCCTGGCCCGCCCTGGCCATTATGGTCATTTGGGGAGTAAACCAGCAGAAGGAAGATATTCTCTCTCCCTCTCTCCCTCTCTCCCTCTCCCTCCTCCTCCTCCTCCTCCTCCTCCTCCTCCTTCTTCTCTCTCTCTCTCTCTCCCTCCTTCCCTCTCACCCTCTCTCTCTTTCTCTCTCCTCTCTCCCTTCTCTGTAATTCTGCCTTTCAGATAAATGAATATAAAAAAAAAGACAAGACGTGAGGGAGGGAAGGAGGCAGGGATGAAGAGGGGGTAAAGGAATTAGAGGTGAAGGCACATGTTCATGTAAGGCAAATAAACACAGCTAGAGAGATGGGTGTTGTGGTGCAGCAAGGTAAACCACCCCTTGCAATGCCCACATCCCAAATCAGAGTGCCAGCTCCAGTCCTGGCTGCTCCATTTCCCATCCAGACTCCTGCTAATGCATCCCAGGAGGCAACAGATGATAGCTCAAATGTTTGGGCCCTGCCACCTCCAAGGGAGACTCAAATGGAGTTCTTGGTTCCTGGCTGGCCCAGACCTGACTATTGAGGCCATTTGGAGAATGAATCAGCAGATGGAAAATATCACTTCCCACCATTCTTCCCATCATTCTGATTTTCAAGTAGATGAAAATCAATAAACATTATTTTTAAAAATATTTTAAGAATTACAACTAGGGGCTGGTGCTGCACTTAGCAAGTTAAGATTCCATTTAAGGTGTTCCACATTGGAATGCCTGGGTTGGATTTCTGAGCCTGGCTGCTGACTCCAACTTCCTGTTAATGCACACTCTGGGAGGCAGCAACGATGGCTCAAGAAGTTGCATCCCTGTTGCCCATGAGGAAGACCTAGATTGCTTTCCCAGCTCCTGACATCGGCCTAGGCCAGTTCTGGCTATTGTCAACTGTCTTCTAGCTAGATTCAGCCAATGGGAGATACAGGACAAGGTTGGCAGGTGGATGGACAGAATGTAGGTGTTTCTGTCCTATTTGTTTTGTGCAGACTCAACTGCCCGTACCTCCACTACCTGTTGAACTGTCCTTGGGCCGATGGGCCTACATCCTCATAGCTCCAGGCCCCACTATGGCCACGGGCTCTGCAACATCAATGCCTGCCCTGGTTTCCCAGCTTCTGGCCGCTGCTTGGCTCTGGGTTGCTTCACGGTTATTTAGATCAACAGCTCCGCTGGCACATTCCTACTTGATTCCCTGCATCCAACGCTCTCCACAGAGCTCCCAGCTTTCTGATTTTCTGACCAGATCTTGATTCATGCACTTTAGGGCTTAGGAGACCTTGATACTCTTGGTGCCTGCCTCCAAATCCTCTCAAGCCTTGCCATTATAATTGGAGTCCAACTTCAAAATGCCAACCTTTGCACTTTGCCCAAAGAATCTTTTTGGTGGCCTAAGCCTCCCCTGCCCATGTGCATGTTGAAAGCAGATGAGAATCACAAGAGAATTAACATATACAGCCACACACGCACACTGAAAACCACTCCTATAGGGACCGATGGGAGCTGTGAAGCTGTGATACTCCCACCAGTCTCCTCACTGCCATCTTGTGCATGTGTCCCACCAAAATGCACATGGGAACTTGAACTTACAAGAGGGTGAAGGGAGGGCTCCAGGAGCCTTGTGCCCTTCTGCCATGCAGCATGTTGAAGGCACAGCAACCAGGCAGAATCTTGGAAGCAGACAGCCGGCCCTCATAGACACTGAATCTGCCAATGCCCTGGTCTTGGGCTTCCAGCCTCCAGAAGTGTGAGAAATACGTGTCCATTGTCCATGAACTGCCCGATTTAAGGTATTCTGTCCTCACAGCAGAAGCAGACTAAGATCTCACCCCAACTCTGAGTCAGTAAAAATCTGAAGTGCATGCTCTATGTCAGCTCTCAGGAGTTCCTGATGAAGCTAAGTTCCAGGTGACCACAGCAATGCCTTTCTGTCTCTCCTTCCTTTCCACCACTGGGGTTTCTACCTCCCAAGTAAACTGCACTTGAAGCATTGCCTCAGAGTCTGCATCTAGGGGAATGGAAACGAAAGTAAGGCTCCTTTTGTCTTTTCTTCCTTGCTTTTTATTCGTCATGAAAGTTAAATTAAGACAGCAGGAACACAGAGTCCACGTGGGGACAGGCTGCAGGTGCTCGGGCAGTGCCCTCTTTCTCACCAGCTGGGGCGTGGCTGAACAGGCCTTGGTGGTAGGAGGTTAGGAGGTTCCTGCTGTGGTTGCAATGGTTGTCAGATGGATGCTGTCTCAAGCCCTCTGCTTCCCACCAACCAAAGAGAGATCCCATGCGTTCTCTTTGAAAACTCCTTTTGATCACTGCCTCAAAAGCATCCGAGGGAGCCAACACACCTTTTGTGACTCTAGAGGAATGTTTAAAACCAGCACTTTTTGAGTTTCTGGCACATTAAGAGAGGGAGAGCAGAGGAACCTGAAGGGTTCGTGTGTGTTTCCAGTGAATTCTAGGGAAGTGAAATAATGATCTTGGCCCAGACAGCAAAAGAC